CTTTATTTCATCTTTTTATAACCATTAGATATTAAAATATTATAATTTTTCTATAATGTTTTATAGTCAATTTATATCTACGCTTTAAGAGATAATGCAATTAAGTTGTAATATAATTAAAATTTAAAAGTAATTATAGGATTATCTTTAATTAAAAAAAAATATTTAAAAAAAAAATTAATATAATATATATTATTAATTATAATTATTTATTTTTATTTTAATTAAATATTTTTATAAATAAATTTTTTATAATTTTATAGTAATTAAAATAATTATTTATTATTAATTTTAATAGCATTTATTTGTTAAAAGAAATATATAAAATATAAAATATTTCTTTAATATTATAAGTGAATTTTACTTGTAATTTTATTTAATAATTAAAATTATTTTAAAATTATTTATTAAAAAATAAATATTTTTATAATAAATTTTATAATTATTTTAAATAAAATTAAAAAAATATAATTAATTAGTAATTGTTAAAAATAATTATATAATAAATAAAAAATTAATTTTTTAAATTTATATATTTTACTATCTATTGATTTTAAAAATAAAATATATTATTATTAATAAATTTTGATAAGATAAATGCAATAAATTGATTTTTTTTTATAATTATTATAATAAATATTAAAAATTGATAAATATTGATAATATATTATTATTAAATATTAAAATATTACAACTTTTTTATAAATAATTTATATTTATTATTAATAATTAAATATCTTAAAATTTTTTAAAAAAATATTATTAAGTATAAAAAACAAATAATTAATACTTAAATATTTTAATATTATATATCACTAAAATTAATTGTTTAAATTTATTTAAAATTTAACAATATATCTAAACTTTTAGTTTTACTAATTTTTTATAAGTTTTTAATATAGTTTTATATTTTATAAATTTTAATATAGTTTAATCTTTCTCAAGTTTTACATATTTTTTAATAAGATTTTAATATAATTTAGACAACCTCTAAAATCTTTAAATTTATTTAATAACTTTATATATTTTTATTTATAAATATATAAAAAATTAATATTTTACTTTATATTATTAAAAATATTAATAAATTATAAAAATTTATTAAAATAAAAATAATACAAGTAATATATATAAATAAAAATAAAATTAAATTATTATGACTTTTATAATAAAAAATGAGAAACTGCTAGAAAAAATCAATTTTAATTTTTATATTAAATATAATTTTTAGGTTAAAATATATTTAGATTTAACATTAACTTATTTTTATTTTTTCTAGCTTTTTTTTCTTTTTTATTATAAGGAATAATATTTACTAATAAAATTATATTTAACATTTATAAGATTTAGAGATTATCATTATAATGCTAAAAGTAATAAATATATAAATATATTATAATTATAATTTTTATTATTCAAAATGAAGCGTAGAATTATATATATTTAAGAGTATTAATAAAAAAATCTCAGTTACGTAAATATTTTCATTTATCATACCACATGTATAATAAGATCAGTAAATAAAAAAATAAAAATAAAATAACAAAATAAAAATTAATTTATTTATTTTAAATAATAAATTTCACTTTAAACTTAAAATGGTTTCCATTTTCTAGTTAATAATTAAATATATATAAAAATAATTAATTAAATTTTTAATAAATTAAGTTATTTTAAGTTATAAATCAAAAAATTTAATTTTTAAAATACTTTTTTAAAGTTAAATTATATAAATATTTTACAGTAAAAAAAGAAAAAACTACTAAAAAAATTTTTTTTACTTAATAAGCTAAATATGATTTTTTTTAATAAAGATTTAATATTAATTCAAAAAAAATTTTTTGAAGATTTTTACTTTTTATTACAAAATTCTATAAAGTTAAGAATTTACAAAATAATAACATAAAGAGATTAAGAAATAAATAATTGAATAGAGGATCATAAGAATAATAATTAATAAGAAAACATTTAATTAAATATTAGATAAAATTATATAATATTGATAGTAAATTATATGATATAAAATAAAAATAATATTATGAGATACAATAAAAATAAATCATATAATAACAGATTAATTATAAGAATTAGTAAATTACAAACAGAAAAAATATATTATTGAAATTACAGAGAAAGAAAATAATAAAGAAACTTTTAAATAAAAGAAAAAAAAAGATAACCTATAAATATACATAAAAATTACATAAAGTTTAAATAAAAAACTAATGAAATAAGATTATTGAATAATTTTGTAACTTATATTATTAAAAAATAAATTGGCAAAAAAAATAAAGAAAGAACATAAATATAAATATTAATATGTAAGAAAAGAAAGACTTATTATGAAAAAATTAAGAAATGTGAAAAAATAAAGAATTAATTATTGAAAATAAAAGAAAGAAAAAAATGTTTAAAGATAAAATAATAATATTATAAAGATATATGTTAAAATATATAAAGATTTTATGTAATTAAGAATAAAAAAGAAGTATTTAGAAATAAAAATTAGAGTTTTAAATCAGATTTATCTATTTATCTGACTTGATCTGACTTAAAAATTTAAATTAAATCAGTAGTTTTTCAGGTTAATATTAGGTCAGGTTAATAGGTTAATCTGATCTAAACTAATCTGATAAAATTTAGGTCAACTAATTATTTTTCTTGAACAATTTATTATCATTTAATTAGAATGATTAGATATTATTTAAAAAGAATATTTCATTATCATTTAATTAAAATGATTTATTATTATTCAATTATAATAATTCATTATTATTCTTCTTTGAATGATTCACTATTATTCAATTAGAATGATTTATTAATATTCTTCTTTAAATAATTTACTATTATTTAATTAGAATAATTTATTATTATTTTCTTAAATGATTTACTATTATTCAATTAGAATGATTTAGTATCATTTTTTTTAAACAATATATTATTATTTAATTAGAATAATTTAATATTATTCTTTTTAAATGATTTATTGTTATTTAATTAGAATGTATCAGTTAGGTTAAATGAAAATTAAAATCAGATTAAATTATTGTTTGATCTGACCTGATTCTCTTAATTCAGATAATTTGATTAATCTAACATGAACTAACCTATTCAGAATTTTATAAAAAATACATAATAATATATATAATAAGATACTTAATAACTTTTAAAAAATTAAAATTGAATATATATAATAAGATTATATAATTATTATTTTTGAAATAATAAAGAAAAATTGAATTAAAATTAGAAAAGAAAATAGAAATTAAAATAGAAATGAAAGTTAAAAACAAAATTAAAATAGAAATTAAAATCTGTAATAATAAGAAATATTAATGAAATCTAAAAATAAATATGATGTAATATTAGAAATATTAGTAAAGAAATAATAATAAAGAAAATAATAGTGAAGTAATAATAAATTATTAGTAAAAGAAATTAAAATAAAAATTATTAATAATAAAATTAGAAATTAATAAAAAAAGAATAAGAATTGAAATTATTAAAAAAAAATAGAAATTAAAATAATAAGAAAGGAATAAAAATTAGAAAAAAATTTACAAATTTATCATATTAATTTTTATAAATAGAGATAGTAATTTTATTATATAAATAAATATTAATATAAATTCTAATTTTATAATAAAAAAGAAATATGATTAAATACAATTTTTTCTTTATTAATACATCATTATCATTATTAATTTATGAAAATCAATACTAAATAATAAATAAGTTAGTTAAAATAAAATAAATAAAGATTAAGCAAAAAAATAATTAATTATTATATGTAAAAAAGATAATAATATTGATAAAAATATTATAGATAATAATTAAAAATGAATATAAAAGTATTGAATAGAAGGTCTAAAATAAAACTTAAAAAATATAATAAAAGAAATAAGTTAATAATATAAAATAAAGATAATATTATATAATAAATATATAAAAAAGAAGAATATTGAAGATAATAAATACAATTCAACAAATGACAGAAAACTGATAAAAATATAACTTAATAATTAAAAAGAAAAAGATAAATTAATTTTTAAAAAGAAGGAATAAAACTTTAGTAAATTATTTTATTATATTAATTGCTGATTCATCTAAGATCAGCACTTTCTTCATATTAAAAAAAGTTAATTATTATCAATCTCTTGCGTAATATAGAAGCTTCTGAAAAGGATAAGTTATTAATGACTCATAGACAATAATCAAAATCATGTTATATATTAAAATAGAATTTGAAAAAAGAAATTTGCAAAAAAATTATATATTCATATGTAAAATAAAAAGTTTACTATATATATACATCAGATTTATAGTTCAAATATAAATAAATTTTGATATTTTATTGTATTTTATTTTATTATTTATGCTAAAAATAAATAAATATTAGTCTCATAAGTTGTTTCTTAAGGCTCTTCTCCTTTTAATATACGTTTTACTCCTTCTATTGTCTAAAGTATCATTGCATATTTCCAACTTTATGAGAAGAAAGTAATCTAATTTGAAATGGTATTTTCTTTTAGTATACTTTCTTCTTCTATTTCTTCTTCTTACACTCACTATATCAGCTCACTTCTCATTTCTGCCACCATCATTTTTTTTATATTAGCAGATGTTGTATAAAATATAGTTTTAAGAAGATTTTTATATATGCAGAAATTCATTTTACTGGCTCCTTAATTTTTAATATTATTGCAAAGTCTAACCGGAAATAAAAACCTTCTAACTGAATAAAAATAATTATAAGTATATAAATTTTATTTAAAAATTTAGATTATAGTAATACAAAGATAATGATATGTGTAGATTTTTCTATAAAGTAGTAATTTATAATGATAAATAAAAAAGACAAAGGTAATAATAGTGGTAAAAATGGTGAAGGTAATAATAATGATAAAAGAGATGAAAATAATGATGATGGTAAAGAAGGTAAAGGTAATAGTGATAATAAAGAAGGCAGAGGTAATAATAATAATAAAATAGTTAAGAGTGATTATAAATGGTAATAATAAAAAGAAATTCATTGATAGTAAATAAAACAAATTACAAATGATCCTTTACATTTCAGATTTAATTCTATTTTTTATTTATTTTGTTAAATCATTTACTACATTTGTTTGATCTTTAATATTCATTAATAGTATCTATTTGAAATAAAATAAAAATAAAAATAAATAATCCTTTCACTTTATAATTTAGATATCGATATAAAGATAACTTAATTATTGATTTTTGATATAGTCTATGATTTTTGGAGATTTGTGTGCATTAAAATAATAGAATTGAATTTGATAATTATCTGATTTTTAATAATTTTTTGTATTTTATTAGGCAATGATACCATATAAAGTCAACTCTACTGTGCCACAAAGATTGACGAATGATCAATGTTATTAATATCATTAGCATTTTTAACTTAGTTAACATTTTTATTTTATTT